ACCTTAAGTAAGGAGGAAACAAAAATACACATTGGAATATCAATGTGAATAACATCAATGTAACATGACAATGACCTTAAGCACACAGCTAGGATAACCAAGGAGTGGCTCTGGAAGAAGCATTTGAGGGTTCTGGCTTGTGTCATTATTTTATTCTAAGATCTGACCCACGTGCAGAAAACCAAACAGAGCGACCAGGGGAAGGTTTAACAAGTTTATTGAGAACTGGTAGCATGGGTCCAGTGCTGCTCTGAACACTGGCGAACCGCGAGTTTCCAGGAAAGGTGTCTTTTCTTTGAATCCAGTCGGTGTGGGTTGTTCCAGTAATTGACTTGCTCGTAGGAGGGCGGCCAGGGTTTACCCAGGTTGCGGTGTTACTTGAGGAACGGAGGAGCTGACTGCCACTTAGATTTCCTATGGTACTTGAACGGTTTCTTGGGGAGATTAATCCCCTGCTCAGTGTGAAGCTCAAAAAATCCCTTTTGGGAGAAGTTGATCCAAACCACCAGTTTGAATCCCCAGCTCGGTTTGAAGCTCAGACAATCCTTCCAGGGGGAGAAGGTCCAAAACATCCAGTTTGCAGGATGACTTCCCAAAACTGGGAAACACTCTGGCCTCAAGGTAGTGGCAGTCCATGGCTTAAGTACTCCTCCAGATAAAGGTCCAACGAGCTGCAGGTGTGCAGGGAGGCCCAATGAGAATTGGGCACCACCTGGTGGAGGAGGAAAGGAAACACAAAAAACAACCCACAAAAACTTGATTCCTGACAGCTTGGCATGGTCAGTCTCCAGGCCTTAACCCAATAGAGAATCTTTGGAGGGAGCTCAAACTCCACATTTCTCAGCGCCAGCCCAGAAACCTGACTGATCTAGAGAAGATCTATGTGGAGGAGTGGGACAAGAGACGACCTGCTGCCAGATAATTTCAGCTGATTTTATGATACATGGATACAAAAAAAGAATTTAAGATTGTCAAGAAGTTTAATTGTAGCCTAGGAATTATGTTGGAGATACCTAAAAATCAGAATTCCAGATATCTGAAATAATTTTTTTCCTGGAAGACAATGAAAAGATTATGATTTGGTTGAAACATTTTTTAAAATATAATTTCTACTGGCAGAAATGTAATGTAATGGTGTTACATTTCTGACTATGATTGTAATTGTAAGTAGGTAAAATGCTTTAGCACTGTAATGGAAATCTGACATCAGCTAGCCTATTTTATGGTAAAACAAATGTTGAAGTATATTTTATCTGTAGTTGCGTTCTATATAAGCATAATTTAATTTCAAATATCTAAAATACCAGTTTAACTTGTCATATTGTTGGTGGTGGACGTAAGTAATGGCATTTCTACAAGCAGAAATATATTTTTGATACAGAATTGAATATCTGGATATTTAGAATATTTTATTTTTGATATCTGAAATGGCCATTATGACTGGATAATGGAGATCCGAAATTAGAAGACATCAAGAATTGTAAACAGGGTTGTACATTAGGGCTGGGCGATAATTC